TTCAGACTTGAGGTTCCAGAAGTTTATGTTCTCTCGGCTCCATTATTTTGGGCTTATAACAAGTCTGAACATTATGGTGAGAAACTCAAGGTAAAATAAAGCTGCTTATCTTATGGCACCATGAGAGCAAAGGAAAAAGACAGGAGGGAGACAGGGCTGAGGTCTTAAGGGTCTCGTGTCCTTGAGGTCTTGAAGGACATGACTGACCCCAATGACCCAACTTCCTTCAACCTTCTTAAGATTTCATGATTTTCCAATAGTGCCATGGGCTGCCAATCATACAATCCTTTGAAGAACACTTAAAATCCTGAATCACAATACCAATTAATTCTTTTTAAATGAAAATTAAACATGCCATACTTCCTTTAATTGTTTCATGCTTTGAAGAACTGTTTTAAATACAGTTTCCCTCTCAAGAAACTAAAGCTGTTATTCTGAGCTTTACTATAAGAGAAACAGATTTTTCCCAAGAGGAAATAACAACATAAAAGGAACTGTTGAGCAATGACTGTAGTATCCATGAGACACAAATGAATAACTGGTGTTTGATAATGGCTGATTCTCTCCGCCCCTTCCCCCGCTTCCTCTTCTCTGAAGCAGTGGTTGTGTGAGCTACTGAAAAAAAGGAGCAGTGAAATTAGTAAGAGACCTGCTGCCCAAATTTGGCAGTCGTCTGTTTTTTTGTTTTGTGGGGTTTTTTGGCAGTCATGGGTCTTGAACTCTGGGCCTAGGCTCTGGCCCTCAGCTCTTCAGCTCAAGGATAGTGCTCTACCACTTAAGCTACAGCAACACTTCCGGTTTTCTGGTGATTTATTGGAGATAAGAGTTTCACAGACTTTCCTGCCCGGACTGGCTTTGAGCCATGATCCCCAGATCTCAGTCTCCTGAGTAGCTAGGATTACAGATGTGAGCCACCAGTGCCCGGCTAGGCAGTGGGTTTTATAATGGATAATGAATATATTTTTTCACTTTCTATAAACTCCAAGCCCTGCATCATGTTTTATTGAAAAGAGCATTGTTTTGAGTTCTTCTTCATAGTTTCCAATTGGTGCAGAGAAATATTCTAACTTGTACCAACTTATCTACAAAAGCTACGTAGAAATACCTAGAACATCATGGAAATACCTAGAGATCAGGAATTATTATACAAGTTTAAAGGAAAGGAAAGATTGCCTTATTGCAAAAGAACAAAGACATGCCATGACTACATTTTTTTAGGCTGATGTTGCTCTTTGCTACATCCTACCCTCTTAAATGACTATGTCCTAATGGCCTGGAGTACTCTAGTACTCTATCATATTCATGTCAAAAAAAAACAGACATAAAGGATAGTGACTAAGCCAAGTGATAAATTAAATTGACAGGCAAATGTATATCCTAATAAAATGCTTCTGTTTCTAAAATATCAAGTCCAGCTTCGTTTTCTGGAGAAGTTAATTGCTATGACAAGCTTGACAGAAACTAGAGGACATTGACCCTTGGAAGGTGGTGGCTGTTCAGGAAGAATGCTCACTGATGCTCAAAGAATGAGGTGGAGTAAAAGTACACCCCCACACAGGCAAGAAGCCACACGTATGGAGAGGAGGACCATGCCCAAACACAATTCAGGTCATTCCCAGATCAGATCTTCAGTTCTAAGTAGGTTGCCAAACTTGAGAATCAGATGTGGCATAGTACTGCTGTCAGGTACAAAGGAGTACCTCTGTGTGGTTCCAGTCTGGTCCTTTTATTTTTTCTTGCAAGGGAATTACAAGTACTTCATTTATAACATTATTGCTGAAACTGAAGACCATTCCCAGTAGGAAACCAGTGTCTCAGAATAAATTTGAATCCTTGTAGCTTTCCCTCAGAGGCTTTATCCAATACAAAGGTTTCTGCCCCAGTCTACATGGGTACTAATTCTAGATCTCTGGATCAGGAAGTAGAAAGATAAAGCAGAATGAAATATTCTGCTTTCTCTCAGGTGAGTGTGATGAAGTGTGAAGCTGGAGATGGAAAGCTAGAGATTTTTTTTCTCAAATCAATGACAAGCTCTGTATGGCTAGTTGATCCACCTCCTAGAGTCTAGCAATCTACTCAGTTTAGGTTCTCGAACGATTCCCTTTTCGTCATCACTGACATCTTAGAAGGACTAGATAACCCTAGGGAAAATCTAAAGTCATTATTTCAGACACTTTGGTGAAACAAGAGGATGACTGGAATCTAAGTCACCTTGGTCCGACATTCCTCAGGTGTCAAATGGTTTTTAAGCTGCAGGCTCTCTGTCACTTCTCTATTCCTGCTACATTGAGCATTCTGTGGTTACAAGTCTGTACTTAATTTTATTGTAATTTTTTAGAGTGAGTATTTTGATTATTTTCCTCCTTTACTCCAAAGCCAACACTGTAATGTAGGCAAGACTGTTCCTTAAGCCTAAAGCTTTAAGTCCACTGAGATTCCAGACATATTACTTACAGACATAATACTCTCTTTTCTCTCTTGATAAGCTCATAGGGCATCGTTCCAACTAAGGACTTAGATAAATAAGGGGACATAAATAACATTGGAGGGTAAACCATGAATCAGCAAATAGTCTAAAAAATATTGAAACAAAGAAAAAATAGTTTGAAATGAGTTTTCCAATATTGCTGGTCTGTGGTCTCAGCAATATGTCTTTTTCCCTATAAGAACATAAAAGAATCATATAAGCTAAGGTTGTAGCTTTAAATAAGAATAAAATGTAATACAACTATTTAAATAAAATGTATTTCTTTTGTTGGTCATGGGACTTGAATTCTAGGCCTGGGCACTGTCTCTGAGCTCTTCAGCTCAAGGAAAGCATGCTACCACTTGAGCCATGGTGCCATATCTAAATAAAGTGTATTTTGCAACACACTTTCAAACATAATCAGTAGAGTTTCAAATTCACATGAAATAAATGGTCTTAGTATGTGATTATGAATGTTCATAATCTCCTCATTAGAATTTTATCATTGTCACTGAGCACCCAAGGGTGAAATGACAAGATTTGGATGAATCCACCTGCCAACAGCCTATAGGTTTTACTTCTGGGTTGAACCAAAACAAGGTGTCTGGGAAAATCAGTAGCATAAGAACATCTATAAAAATCTTTCCTTTCTTCCTCATTCTCAGGAAATCAGCTTCAAAATTCATAAGGAAAATATGAGAGTTTAGAGAGGATGGGAGAGACGATGAGAATGCTCACACCCTATTATTCAGTGACTCCCTATGATCTGCAGAATACTATCTGAGCATCTACCTAGCTGCTTATATCTTCCCTCTTTGGGAAGATGACATTACAATCTCATCTGTACCACAAGGAGTAATTAGGGCTGGGATAAGAGCAGTCATCAAAAGCCAGATGAATCGAGACCTAGACTTTTACTTGAAGGTGGCACAAAGAGTTTTCATTTTATCCATGCTCCCAAACAAAACTCATACATGCTAAGTGCCCTTCTCAAGCCCCCCCCTCCTATTCTGCTGTGTGTTTCTGCCATAATCATTCCTTCAAAAGGCCTTCCTGCTTCCTCAACAAAACTTGACATTCTTCTGTTCTGATCCCATGAGTTCCTAGGGCTTTTGGCTTAAGTGTTAGGTTAGTGCTTTTGCATTTGCTGCCTAGAATTAACTATCACCAAATGGTACAAGAAGATGTGTCTTTATGCTTCACCTGGATCACACAGCACCATTACCTCTGATGCCAGAGGATCTGTGTGCCTTGCCAAGTCTGTCAGCTCAGTTCTAGACTCTCAGCCGCATGAGGGAAGTTTTGGGCTTTTTGTTTTGTTTTGTTTTGAAAATACTGTACAGAGGGGTTACAATTACATGGGCAAGGTAATGAGTACATTTCTTATCAAGCATTGTAACCTCCTTCTTTGTTTCCCCTTCCCATCCCTTCCCATCCTACCCCACCCCCCTTTCCAGTCCTCCTACCCCACCACACACCAAAGTTGTAAAGTTCGTTTTTCCACATAACAACTTGTACATCTCATTGTTGCAATGGATCCACCTGTATCCCTATTTAAACGATTTGTTTTTTTCCTTCCCCTCCACAAATTATACCAACCTCAAATAAAGTGAAAGCAGAGGTTATACTGTGGGGGAGGGACATACAAAGCAGCAAAAAAATCATCTTATAAATGTGTTAGAAACAATCACCTCAAAGAACATGAGAGAAGTTTTGCAAACAATACTATTTGTTGTTTCCTCAAATCAACTTCTTCATGACTAGTAGGAACTCCATATATCGTTCAAGGCCATACACATTTCTGAAAATATTCTTGATGGAAATATTTTTGTTCAAAAAAGTGAAGAGCAAATTATTATCTCTACCGTCTTTTTTTCCAATTCAACTCCTTGGTCATAAATACCTCTCACTAACCTTCTGCTGGAATTTCCCTTTCTTAGGAGAACTTAAGATCTCCACCACTTGCTCCATGGCACCTAGAGGGTGTGTTGTCACCTTTGTTACCTATACTTATCACCTTTACAGACACACACACACGCACACAACACACACACAAACACACACACACACACACACACACACACACACTGTAAAAGAAAGTTATTTAGGGTTAGAAGCCTCACAATTCTATTTGTGAATCCCACTTGTTCCTTCACGATTTTTTTTTTGGTCAGCCATGGGGCTTGAACTCTGGGCCTGGGCGCTATCCCACAGCTCTTCAGCTGAAGGCTAGTGCTCTACCACTTGAGCCACAGCACCACTTCCAGTTTTCAGGTCGTTGATTGGAGGTTAAGAGTCTCACGTACTTTCCTGCCCAGGCTGGCTTTGAACCACCATCCTCAGATCTCAGCCTCCTGAGTAGCTAGGATTACAGGCGTGAGCCACTGATGCCCAGTTTTCCTTCACCCTTTTTGAGCCTGGCTCAAACACAGATTCTCTGCAGAGTTCTCCAAGTCTTCTCTCAGTATTCAATTGGAAATAAATGAACAAACAAACCAAAACCAAAGCTAACTTTTTACCTCTGTCTTAACAGGATTTTGTGCCACTGTATCAAGACTTTGAGAATTTTTTTACCAGAAACTTGTACATGCGAATCAGAGATAGCTGGAACAGGCCCATTTGCAGTGAACCAGGGCCTTATTTTGACATAATGGAGAGAGTGTCCGATGACTACAACTGGACATTCAGGTGCGGCTTTCGCCTAGAGAGGCTTGGTGGGGAAAATGAATCCTTTCAGGGAAATTCTAGCTTAGCCATTAGGGTACGGATCTGATGAAACTTATGCATAGAGGCTGATTTCCCATTGCGCAGTCCTTTGAGTACCTCATGGTGCCTGTGTGGGAGTCACACTAATTAAGTTGCCAAGATGGCAACTTTACAGTGAGATATGTGTCCAAAGATTCCGTACACACCGTTGAAGAGCCTTCCTCAGCTCTCTCGATAAATCATATCCTCTTCTTCCCTGATGAAGATAATAATGATAACAGCATTCCTTTAGAAGGTAAATCAGAGTGTGTATCATGAAAGCGATTACTTCCAGAACATCGTTGCTAAATAATGTGCCATGGTTCAGGCTACCTTTCTCCCTGTGCTCTGTCCCAATACAGTATAGGTTACTCTCTTCTAACCGCAGGCCATTTTATGCTGGAAACAGTATAAGTTAGAAGAAGAAAATAAAATTATATGACTGGAGCTGGACCTCTGGAAGCCTAGGATGCTGTAAAATGAGATAGGTCTTGGTGTTCACTTACACGTTTCCATGCAGGTTCACTGGAAGAATCCTCAAAAATGTCATCAACATGGGCTCCTACAACTTCCTTGGCCTCACAGCCAGCTACATTGAGCAAGTGAAGGATGTTTTAGATACATACGGTGCAGGAGTGGGCAGCACCAGACTTGAAATGGGTAAGTCTAGTCACTCATCTGTCATTTTCTCCAGGTAGTGTCAGATTGCTTGTAATGACTGTCGGTACGGCCAAAAAGAAAAGGGGATATGAAAGTCTTTTGAAAACGTTCAAACTGCCATTGCCAGGCACTTTATTAATGTTATCCTTAAGTCTCTATTGGATAAGTGAAACTGCGTCTTTCCTCGCCAAACAACTGCTATGCCTTTTATTACAGGACATTTTATTGTCCTTTTGCTTGATTTACTTAGTGACCTTTATGATTGATGAAAATGATGATATGAATATGTGGCCTGCCTCTGCTTCACAACCATCAGCTTCATAAGCAGAGCAATTGGCCCTGTGGAATATTGGGTTGAATGAACAATGCATGAGTAGGAAGATAGAGCAGGGTGACTATTTCCCTTTAGAAGAAGAAATCATTTTCTCTTATACAAAGGAATAAAATTTGTGAGAAAGACGTTTCCATTCCTCTCCACTTGATGGAGAAAAAAAAATAGATCAAATGTATAGCTCAAGTGATAAAAGAGCCTGATTAGCAAACATGAAGCTCCTGAACTCAACCCGCAGTACCCCCAAACATGATTTGTAACATAATAATCTTAACATGGCATGCAAGAATTAGGAGTGACATACTTCTAAAAGTCATTTATTCAGAGGAATTTAAGTAACTCTTATAAAGCATGTGCTTTATGGGCTAAAGAAACAGTTTAATGATTCTAATGGATTCACAACTTACTTCCCTACTAACTGGAAGAGTAAACACTTTGGTTTAAGCATCGAAACTCAATAATCCACTGGAATTTAAAATATACTACTACTCAATTACAATTACTCCAGTGACTGAAAAGTAAATAGATAGGTCCTAAGCAGGCATGTATCTGCCTTTTATAACCACTAGAGTGCAGTAAAGTGACCAAAAGAGAGTCAAGCCAGTGGAATAGCTAAGCTTGACAGGAATGTAACTTGACAAACGGGGCCTGGTCAAAGAAGCCCAAAATACAGCTGAGAATTTACCAAAGTGCAAACATAAATGACAGAAACAATGTCCTGCTCTCTATCCTAGAAGGTGACTAAAAGTGTGGATATATAATTAAGGAAAGTTTTGCTTGTATTACTATTCCACAGGCTCAAAGCCTTGCAGAATGAACTTTTTAGATCCTGAACATGAAGCAGAGTGATATTACCATTTAGAGACTGTACTCAAGGACTTTAAAATATCTAAGACGCTTTTTATTTTATCTCCTGCTGGTGTTTTGGTTGGAATATTCCCAGATTTTTGCCTGTCCCTTTCAAATTGTATGATGTTTACGCAAATTTAGTGGCAGCAGTCAACCATTTTTCTCTATTACTTTGTCAAAGTGCTGTGTGGATGGTTTAATATATGTACATCAGCAGACTCTAGTTCTAACAGCTTATCAAAGACTTTGTGTAGCACAAATCCTTTACTTGACTGGGGTATGGATCTGTAAATGAAAAATGGCAAGTAATAGAAAATCAGTAACTCAAGTTTGCTTTGATCACTGAACACATAACACATAGTACTAGTCCAGCTTTCCAAACCCAAGGAAGACTTAAATTCAAGCAAGCCACAGAGAAGGCTTTTTTCATTCCTCTTCCTTTTCAAGTGTTTTTCCATAAGGAGTAGACTTTCTTGTTCTTTCTTTCCCTGAACACCAAGGATGAAAAATGGATGTGTAGTAATGGTGTATTATTTATGTCCACATGTGCCACATTGCATATGGCAGCCCTTTGGGCTACCATAATTCTCCCAGAATTCTTAATTATACGTTCATATCTAAGGAAACAAACTCCAGGGATGTTACTAAGTCTTGTGACAACAAAAGCACATCTAATTTTCTGCCCTTGAGAAGGAAAGCCTTAGGCTTGATTTTCATTAGGGATATTCATACATCTGTCTAGCATGAATATCTAAAATAGTTGTTTGAGAGCATTCCTTTCAACTGTAATTGCAATTTTGAAAAAAGTGGCCTCCAATATTCTCATTTCTCAAATCATCAAAATGGCACATTACCTTGGGAATCTAAACAAGTGGATGCTATAGGAAATCCTTTTCCATTCTAAAGTTTTCTGGCATGATTTTTTTCATGTTAGCAGTGATATGAAACTTCATTAAATCTCTTCTGATTTTCAGTTTAAGAACACATTCCCTAGTCCATCCCCACCACTTGCCTCCCTGACATGTTTTCTGTTATTGCTTCACATTATCAAAGATCTCCTCAAAGATGTGTAGCTACATCTAGAGAATGTAAGTCTCATAAGCTTAAGCTTTTGAAGAAAAGACCAGCCTGAATTTTTAACATGTCTGAATTAAAGCATATTTTAAACAATATGTCTTTCAATTTCTTCTGGAAGTGAGTAGTTTTAAGAAATTTCTACCAAGCAGAAATCTTACATTTTCAAAATAAAGGGATTTTAATGAACATGGTTTCATGTTAACCAATACTACAGACATGTTTTAAGTAGTATACTAGGTTAAGTAAGCTGAAATTTGCACAGCAAAACTCTCTCCATGTTATTTCCTCTCACATCAAATTATTGCATATTCTGATTAATGAGAGTTAATGAATTTGGATCAGATTTCCTCATTTTCCTAGAGTATTTGTAAGGAGAAGGGGACACTCAGAGGAAGTATTTGAAAATAGAAAAAGTGAAAGTATACCTTGGTTTCTGAAAGCCTTTTGGCCCGGGTTTTGAAACCTAGTAGAATTTTTGACAATGTAATAGTCTTTATTTCGATAGGGATAGAAATTACAGTCCATCCAAATTTCAGGTAGTGGTACATTGGTAGAAAGTGAAGAATTGGACCCTGTATGTTCCTTCACCAAAACCAAGCCAGCATAAGGATTCAACAAGGTATGCCAGGAAATTAGTGTATATACACTATGCACTAACAGGGTGATGGCCTAGGGTGGTCAAACAAGTTCAAATTCATAGAAATTCAGAATTTGTAGATTATCCCTCTCCTCCTTAACCCCAAAGACCATTCAGATGAGATACATAAAATGCAGACACTTTTAGTATGTTGGCAATTAGAGTTCCTACAGTGTGGACAGCTGTATCTCCAGAAGTAACCTAGATGAATGGTTGCTAAACAAACGCAGGTGCTCACTCTCTTTGTAGTTCCTACAAGTTAATCATTGCTTTCATAATTTCACATGCTTCAAAAATGTAACGATAAGAATAATAACTGGTGACCCAAGGAAAATACCCAAAATTAAGTTTTCAGTATCCATAAATAGAGTATATCTGGAATGCAGACAGATTCATTCTTTTGTGTATTTTCTACAACAGCTGCTCCTTCAGAGTGGCAGAGTTGAATAGTGGCAATGACAACCATAAAACCAGTCAAATTGAATCTGTTTCCTCTCTGGACCACTATAAAAAATAATACTGGTTTAGACAAGTACATGTCATTAGTTACCTGAGGAGAATCTTCTATATTTAAGAGCAATTGACCAGATTTTCAAGTCCAGTGCATATCAACATATATCAAATCTGGCCTCCTGTATTTAAACTGGTTAGTTCTATTAAATCCAATAATATTTTTTAAAAAATACAAAGTAACTTTCTTCAACATTGGCCCCTGTGAATATTCTTTGGCATTTAGCAATATCTGCCCATAATTTCTCACATTTAGTCAATTATCTGTGCAAAAAGAAATGACTAGAATGGGGGGAAAATCAACAGAGATTCAGTGCTTACGCATTTATTGTACACCCTCCTGGAGGCCACTTCTGATTATCTTGACATCCGTGTTTCTTCTTAATGCATAGAAGGCTGTCTAATTATATGATCTGACTTCTCACCTGTTTCCTAGCACAGTTGCAGAAGCTTGAGTTGTATAGCTGAGAAGTATATCCAGATTTCTCTTGTTCATCTATATATTTCACGTATGTGTTACCATCCTTGGGTTATAGTCATGTATATATTGCCCTGAACTCAAAACTGATATGGACACCTCTCGTACTTTGAGTGTATTTTAGTGAGCCAAGAAGTAGAATAAACTCTTCCAATGAAGAGCCGAAACTAAAACACTTCATGGGGGGGGTCTGGGAAGGTGGCTCAGTGGTAGAGCGCTTGCCTTGCATGCATGAGGCACTGGGTTCGATTCCTCAGGACCACATAAGCAAAAAGAAAAAAGACAGAAGTGGCGCTGTGGCTCAAGTGGTAGAGCACTAGCCTTGAGCTGAAGAGCTGAGGGACAGCACCCAGGCCCAGAGTTCAGGCCCCATAACCGGACCAAACAGTAATAATAATAATAAGATAAAATAAAATAAAAAATAAAACACTCCATGGGAATCTATGTATTAATCTCTATCCATGTCATAGTACATATCTCTGCCACTTAAATCAAGTAAAACAGAGAAAACATAATGAAAGTCACAACCAGGTTTGTCAATGCCCTAAATCTTTAGTCTGACTTCCTTTTATGAAATTCAATAACTTCCCCAATGTCACATTGCTAATGAATAGAAAGCCATGTATATCACAAGCTTAGGTATATAGAAGTAGTTAAAGGTTTCCTTTATTTTAACAAGTTAAAGTTGTCTCTGAATTCCAATAATTTATCTACCTAAAGTCCATGGTGGGCTTTTCATTCTCCCATATGAAGCAAAGTTTCTATAGTATCATTGCATCTCCCAACCATTTCCCTGCTGGTTCTTGGCCTGGAATAATCTCATATTTGGTGAAAAAAGTCCCTGTGGTCTCAAGAGCCCAGTGTTTCTGCCCCATGCTGGATAATGAGAAGTCCCAACTGAGATCAGAAACCTCAGTGTCTGTATTCAAGTCAACCCCATGCAATTTTCTACTATCTCCAATCAGGTACCACAAAGAGATGTTCATAGAGCCAATGAGCCCAGTCTTCATCAAACTCTCTTTCTCTGTTTGGTATGCTTGCTTTCTCTCCTTACAGTAAATCTCATGAAATCCATTTGACTTGTGTAAGTGTTCCTAAGATGTGAAGAAAGCAATTTC